TTGCCATCCCTAGCCCTAGTGCCCTACACTACATAGTCAAATCCGACCCGGTCAATTTCCCTTTTAAGGCGATCAGCATTTGTCAAAGACCCAGCCCAGGAGAAGGGTAAAGGGTTTATCAGAGGGTTTTGACGATTTTCCCCTTTCGATCTCTGTGTTTCTACCCATATTTTCTTATTGGTCTCTCTGTATGATGATTTTTCCCTCTATTGATTAATCACTGATTACCTTGAGGCATTCATTTCAAATGATTTATCTGCCACCTGTCTGATCTGACCTTTTTATTTTACACGTTTGGTTTTTGCTGAAGCTGAATCATGACGATTGAGGAAATGAAGGATGTGAACTTGCATTGATTTTAGCTGGAGTATCATTTTGACACTCTCTGATTGGCTGAAGCATATCCAATGGCCTCGTTGTTTTCAAGAAGGTTACTGCGTGCCATTGGTTCCTGTAATATATCCTCCGCACCATTTTCTTTATGCAAAGGTTAGTAGGGCATTTTCTCAATTTCCTTTGTCTGGAAAGTCACATTGTTTGATGTGTATGTTTCCAGTTTCCATTTCCTTCTGATTTTTGGGGGTTGTTTAGTTTTTGTGAGCTTGTTGATTTTAGTAAAGGGCCAAATTTGTTGTGTAATCATACGGTGCTATCATTCTGAATTTTGTGGACAAAATGAGCTTTGTGATATCTCTGACTTTGTTCTAAATTTGAAGCAGGACTCCATGGTTACCCTTATGGGGATAAACTCAATTTGGCGTGTTTTCCAAGATTAGAAAAGGTGATTCAAATGCAGAATCATATACTCATTTGTGATTTTTATTTGAAATTGCATGATGATGTTATTTGGATTATGTTCTTTCTGTTTTCCTTCTTTCAGTTTGAATTGAATCCGAACTAATTTGTTATGTGGATCAGGCAACATTTAGTTTTTACCAAAGGTATTGTTCTTCTGTATTGACCCCCAATTCAAGTGAAGGCACATTTCCGCCACACTTGTTGTCGTCCAAGCATGTGCTGTCTCCTGACCGGGAAATGGGTACAGTTCTGAAGATTTTACCTCTTATAGTTTTCTGTTGAAAATAATTTGATTCTAAACTTTCTCTGTTCTATAAATTTGGGTCCATTTTGTATGAGTCCTTACTCCTAAGCAAAATTTTGTGGAATTGAAAACATCTAAGAAGGTACAACCGGCATCTTTGATTCCAATGCCCCAAAATCTGTGATCAAGTGAAACTTAAACAGTCTAATTGAGTAAATGATAAACGTGTATTTTGCCTTAAGAAAATAATAAATCAATGGCACTTAATGATGTCTTTGGGACTATATTATCTTGTTCATCTTAATTTGACTTTGTATCCTCATTATACTAACCATGGGGCCTACTGCTTGTCACAAATGTTGTTGAGCAAGGTGGTCACCAGTAACATATTCTGTAATCTAACTGCCATATTAAATTGAGCTGCTTGTTATTTTGTCATTTATATTTATCCTTCTGATACATAACTTAGACCTTGTCTATCAACTTACATTCACGAATTATACTGTTGTATCATGCATGTGCATTCTGGTCATACTATAAAATTTCCTTCAAGTCCTGTGACCTTTCAGATTTGTTAGCTAAGTTTTTTAGTGGGGACTTGTTAGTTACATTGGCCTAGATTCTGACTTGTTAGTTTTTTAGTTACATTGGAAATTAATTTAATGAACCTGTATTGGATCTAATGCTCCTTGTTTCAAATTTTAAAATTGGAAAATATTTATACGTAAGTCTGGGAAATGAGGGAAATTGTCGAAGTTTGAAAAAAAATAATGAAATTTCAAAGGCTCGTGTGCATGTTGATAACATTATCCCCATGTTGCATAGTTAGCTGGTGCAACAAGCATGTACCAGGATGGCAACTGAATAAATCTGTAGCCTGCTGTTGACTTTGCTTTAGGTTGGTAGATCATATTGTTTTAAGATGTCTACTTTGTCTACTGAATATTTTCTTTTCGGTTAGCAATTCCGTGTTGCGAAATTCAGAAAGTTAAAGAAAAGTAAGAAAATGAGGGCGGCCCCCAGCATAACTACAGTCCTTAAGATTTTTAACCTCTTAAAATAATTTGATTTAGGACTTCCTCTGTCCTATGAATTCGGGCTATTTTGATTTGTGTCTTAAGTGAAACTTTGTGTATTTGGAAACATCTGTAAAGAAACGAATGCATCTTTGATTCAAACTACCCATAATCTGTGATATAGTAAGACATTGGCTGTCTAATTGAATAAATGATAATGTGTATTCTGCTTTAAAAAGTAATAAATCAATATTACTTAATAATGTCGTTGGCACTATATTATCATGTTCAATGTACTATGGACTTTGTATTCTCAATATACTAACCATGGGAACTCACTGCTGTTTACAAATGCCATTGAGCAAGGTGGTCACGAGTAACACATTCTGTAATGGAACTGCCAAGTAAAAATTGAACTTCATGTTGCTTTGTCATACTTATTCTTATTTGCTTCTGATACATAACTTGGACCCTGTTCCTAGGGGTTGTATAATAAAGTTCGCAAATGTTATTGAGCAAGGTGAGTTGGGCCAATGACATTTTAGCTAATAAGAAGTTTAGTGGGACTTGTTAGTTACATTGGCCTAGATTCTGTCTTAACTGTGAGTGTCTTGGAAATCAATATTCTAATGCTTCTTGTTTCAAATTTTAAATTGGAAAAGATTTATACGTAAGTCTGGGAAAATAGGGAACAGTGGAAGTGCTGAAAACAGTATTTCAAAGGCTTGTGTGCTTGTTGATAACCTTATTCCCATGTTGCGTAGTTACTACCTGCTGCAACAAGTACATACCAGGTTACAAGGATTGTATAACCCATTAAATCTGTAGCTGGCTGTTGTCTCTGCTTTAGGTTGGTAGATCTTATTGTTCTGCTGTCTTCTGTATATTTTCTTCAGTTAGAAAGTTAAAAAGAAAATAAAGTTGTGGGTGGTTCCCATTTTAACCACACTCATATCTTTTGTACTGTCGCTGTAAGAACATTGGGCTGTTTGGCTCACTATTCTTTTAATGTTCTAGGTCTCTATCAGGACGTGGTGATTCCTATTACAAATTTTCACAATGAAAATAAAGGCTTCATGGTATTGGCTGGTGATGTTTTTGATGTGCCAATCAGGAAAGATATTATCCATCGTGTCGTGAGATGGCAGCTTGCTAAACGGCAGCAGGTGTCACATTTTCATTCCTGTCGGCCAATTCACATTAAAAGAAATGCTTCATCACCTTTCTTTTTTCTTTTTTCTCTCTCTCCTTTTTTTCTCTTTTCCCCCTCATCACCTGTCTGTCCAATTCAAACTGAAATTCGAAAGTCCACTTTTGTTTACTTTTTTCTTTTTCTTTTTTAATAATGATATATGTCTGATTGTTGTCCATTTGTAATGTGCCTTTGCTGGTATTAACCTTTGACATTTGTGTTATTTTTGGCAGGGAACCCACTCGACCAAAACTATAAGTGAGGTTAGTGGGACCGGAAGGAAGCCTTGGCGGCAGAAGGGTACAGGACGAGCAAGGCATGGGACATTGCGTGGCCCACAGGTGTGTTTGTTCTGCTTGTCTGGTCGTGATTGCTTTTATCTTTGTATTGGAGTGGGCTAAAGAAAATAAAGCGTAACGGTTATATTTATTGGTCGTCAACAGTTTAGGGGTGGTGCTACTATGCACGGCCCAAAGCCACGTAGTCATGCTTTCAAGCTAAACAAAAAGGTCCGTCGGCTGGGGCTCAAGATTGCACTTTCTGCTCGTGCAGCAGAAGGGAAGGCAAGTACATTCTTCACATGGAAATATCAATAAGTACCTGGTGCAAACTCAGGGATTAGCCATGTTTTTCTTTTTTTTTCTTTTTTTTTTTTTTCTTTTCTTTTCTCCTCTACACCTATGGGCAGTGGGATCCTCTCTCCCTCATCATATGACCAGACTAATTGAACATATTATTCAAACAAATTGCAGCTTATAGTCTTTGAGGATTTGGAGGTTCCTTCACACAAGACAAAGAACGTAGTTAACTATGTTCAACAAATGGAGAACACAAAGAAACTCCTGGTCGTAGATGGTGGACCAATTAATGAAAAGTTAAAATTGGCTACCCAGAATTTGCATTATGTCAACGTGCTCCCTTCAATTGTAAGTCCCCGAATCCCTTGCCGTTATTTTCCACCATGCTAAGTTGTTTGTCCTCTGGACCTACTTTTGGTCCTTGATAGTTGATACTATGTTCTCTAGAACATAAATGTTTTAAAATTTATTTTTTTAAACTTTTAGTGTGTACCGAGGTGGTGGAGCTTGTTAATGTAGAAAGGATATGCAACATTCTGGATGTAGTAGTTTTTTTTCCCTTAATAACTAATCCTTCTTTGCATGTATCTTTCCATCTATCTTCTGTTAAGGCTTCATTTGGGCGATTCTAAGAAGTTGGGGGATAATCACAATATCAATCGCAGAAGTTTGGGCTAAAAAAAGTCGAACCAATCATCTTTCACATTATGAAAAGCATCGTCATTTCCATCCGTCATATATTTTGAATTGCACCTGTAAAATTAGTGGAGCTGTTGAAAACTGCTGGGGCTATTATGAATCTCAGTTTTTTTATTTACTACAAGCATCAAAATGAGAAGGGTGGGGGTATATGCAATATTCAGATGGTGTAGTTGCAAATATTGGTAACATTGCCAAATTTCTCAAGGTAAAACCAACAGTAAAGACAATATGTAGAAGACAATTTGCCAAATTTGCTCATTTATTTATTTATTTATTTCTAAACAAAAATTAATGAAGGCTGTTTTGGTGTTTTATTTCATATTGTTGGTAATTTGTTATTTGACCAAGAATTAGCGTTCTATCATCTCCTGGATTAATTATGCTTGCAGGGTCTAAATGTTTACAGCATTCTGCTGCACGACACGCTAGTAATGTCTCGTGATGCAGTGAATCGAATAGTCGAAAGAATGCATACCCCAATCAAGCGCTAATTGGAGTTTCTAAATGTCGGCATCTCAGTAGATTTTCCATTTGTCCATCTCTGTGCGACACTGAGTTGAATTGAAATGAATTTTCCTAAATGTGTGCGACATTCGGAGTTGTAGTGTTCAAGTTCAGTTCAGCTTTTTTGCTAACATGAAAGTCAAAGTGTGGCTTGCTGGTGAAAAAAATATTTCTTTTCTCTTTGGTTTTGCTCTTTTTGCTTTTCCTTTGGGCCTACGAAAAAAAAATTGAAGGGTCGCAATTATGAATCAATCGACTACTGAATAATGTCTGTGCTACTGATTGAATTCCATGACGATGATTATATATGAAGTTGCAGATTAGCAGATTAATTGTATTATTAGCGTTCATGTGGAGGCCTAGATGGGCCGTTGCTGTCAATTGACGTGGGCCTTTAGCACGTGAGGACATTTCTCCAGAGCCTCCACGCATGCCTACAACTTTGCTAACTTTGAATACGACATATTAATGGTCAGAAGTGGGGGGGAATAAATATAGGGAAATGTTATATGTACATAATATTGTACATAGGGTGTACATAACATTCATATTGAGTGTGATTTATCAAAAATAAAAAATTAAGTGGATCTCACTCCATGTGAGTGTTATGTACACCTTTATGTACATTTATTACGTACTTGTAGCATTTTCCATAAATATAACCCGTCCACTGAAATTAATATTTTTTTATAGCAATATGACAATGCCCCTAGGTTTATCCCAAGGTTTATGATTGTTTTCATAACATTTTTTTTATTAAAATCTTTATTTCATAACATTTGTTCGAAATATAATAATGTTCAAAACTGAATCTTAAGTAAATGTTAGTTAAGAATTAAACTAAAGAGATAAACATAATTTAAAGAATTAAGGTAAACAAGAATGAAAAGAAAAAAAAAAAAGAAAAAGAAAAAGGAAGTTAAGGAAATATGAGATTATAACATAAGATACAAATTCAAATAATTATGTTTGAAAATGATAAGAAAAGAAAACCATTTATTCAAGATATAATAATGTTTAAGGTGAATTATCGATAGATGATAATGAGTTAAACTATATAGATAAATATTTTATAAAGAATGAATGATAAACAAAAAATGAATTTAAAAAAAAAAGTTAGAGAGTAAGAGATTATATTATAAGATACAATTTAAAGTAATTAGGTTTGTAGGAAAAGAAAATCATTTATTTATGAATATAATAATTCTCGAAGTGAATATTATATGAAGTAGGTGTTAAACTAAGTAGATAAGTATTTCATAAAGAATAAACAAGAATGAAACGGAAAAAAAAAAAAGAAAATAAAAGGAATTTAG